GAGGTTGCAGTGAGCTGAGATCTCGCCACTGCATTCCAGCCTGGGCAACAGTGCGAGACTCCATCTCAAAACAATAATAATAATAAAAGCTTTATCCTCGCTTGTACAGTGGTGAGGAAAAAATAAAAACAAAAAGAATTTTTAAAAAGAACTAAATTTTAGAGGTAGAAGGCTCAGAGAGAATGACCAACTAGCCCTGCAGCCTGACAACTGGTGAAGTCAGCCAGTCCCAGTCCAATGACCTGCCCACAATTCCACACGCAAAAAAGAGACTGAGGGCAGGAGGAACACAGAGAAAGGGAAATCAAGCCCAAGAAAGTGGCAAAGACGTGGACTCAATGACAATCTTTTTACGTTTTCTTTCAGAAACAAGGACATTTTATGTGAGGATCAAATATTCTCCCTTCAAAAATTTCTGCAATTGAAGGCCAGGTGCTGTGGCTCACACCTGTAATCCCAGCACTTTGGGAGGCCGAGGTGGGTGGATCACTTGAGCTCGGAGTTCGAGACCAGCTTGGCCAACGTGGTGAAACCCTGTCTCTACTAAAAATACAAAAATTAGCCAAGTGTGGTGGCGGGTGCCTGTAATCCCAGCTACTCGGGAGGCTGAGGCAGGAGAATCGCTTGAACCTGAGGATGCGGTGAGCCGAGATTGCACCACTGCACTCCAACCTGAGTGAGAGCAAGACTCTGTCAAAAAATTTTTTTCTTTTTGCAATTGAAACTTAAAATGATGAGGCTTGGAGTACCTCTGGGAAGGACACCAAATTGTAAAGTCCCGCCTCAGGCCTGAACCTCTCATCTTTTTTAGTAATAAATAAGCAGAAAGGAAATGCTACCTACCCTAAAAGGGCTTTCTTCTCAGTTTCTAAGCCTTCCCATTACTTTCCTCAGATAAACTATAAGCTATTCTTCTTCCTGGAAATTTAAGTGGCAGTCAACATCTATTACCAACCATCCATGGCCTGCTGCTGAGGTGCAGAACTGCAGCTAACTCAAATTCATCACCCCAGACTCACTGTGATGCCCAACCACTGGTACTGGGGTGGCCTCATGACTTAGGACAGTCAAATGGCTTTGTGAATCCATGGTTAAGTTAGTCCACTACCAAGATGGACAAACCTCAGACTTGATAAAAAGGTGGAGGGAAAGTCTGTATATAAACATTTATATAAAATAAATAAATAAAACATTTATTTTTAAAATGCCGAGTGATATGGTCAGCAGAACCAGCCAAGTGACACCTGAGATCAACTGGTAGTAACAATGAAATCTGATATTTCTCACATAAAATAGCTGAAAAACATTCATTAATTCATTCATTTACAGAATCTCGTTCTGTCACCCAGGCTGGAGTACAGTGGTGCGATCTCAGCTCATCGCAACCTCCACCTCCCAGGTTCAAGCTATTCTTCTGCCTCAGCCTCCCGAATACCTAGAATTACAGGTGAGAGCACCACGCCTTGCCAATGTTTTTGTATTTTTAGTAAAGATGGTGTTTCACCGTGTTGGCCAGACTGGTCTCGAACTCCTGACCTCAGGTGATCCACCCATCTCAGCCTTCCAAAGTGCTGGGATTACAGGCATGAGCCACCATCCCTGGCCATAAAACATTTATTTTTAAAATGCCTTTACTCTAAAAAAAAAAAAAAAAAAAAAAAAAAGAGGTTCCACAGATGTGACTAAAGCATGGAATGTTAGGCACTTAAGAGATCAAATTTTAAAAAGCTTTCTATAATCTATTTCTTTTGTATGGTAACAACAATGCATATTTTAAGTGTAAGACAAGAAGCTTTTTTGTCAGTTTCTGTAGAGCTGAATGGAAACTTTTGGACTTGATGGGAGAATTAAATCTCAATCTAAACACCAATCAATGTAGACTTCTTTTCTTCTGAGTGCAATTTCCTGTGGAATTCAAAGTACCAACTGTGCAATCTTTTCTATTTTCTAAGCCTTCTTAGAATAACTATTTACTAAAATCTAAGCAAACAAACCTATAACATTATCCAGCTCCTTTATGAGTGATTTATGTTTTTAGAATTGTCACCTCCTGCTGAAGAAATCTTTCTTGGAATTGAGGGAACAGTTTAATCAGGCTGAACTATGAGGCTATCATTTTCATACAGATCTTTTATGGAATATATGTAGTCTGGGCTCTCTAATGAAGTATGTAAGCTTTCTAATCATTTCAATTAAAATAAAAAGCTGTATTCTCTTAGAATTTTTTTTTTTTTCAAGTGACAGGGTCTTGCTCTGTCACCCAGGCTGGAGTGCAGTGGCATGATCACAGCTCACTGCAGCCTCAGCCTCCCTGGGCTCAGGTGATCCTCCCACCTCAGTCTCCTGGGTAGCTGGGATTACAGGTGTGCACCACCATGCCTGGCCCAAATTTAAAAAAATTTTTGTAGAGATGAGGTCTCCCTATGTTGCCTGGGCTGATCTCAAACTTTTGGCCTCAAGCAATCCTCCTGCCTCGGCCTCTCAAAGTGCTGGGATTATAGGTACCAGCCACTGTGCCTGGCCAGAACTTATTTTTTGTTGAGAAGACTGAATTTAGGGACCAGTTCACTGAGTTATTTAGATGTCCTAATTTCTAGGAACTGTATGCCTTTAAAAAGTGAGGAAGAAGAATAGCACTACTCAAATGCTACATTCTTTTTGCTCTCAAGTCACCGACCAGGGCCCCAATTTTCTCCCTCTGTCTAGGAGTCCTGTGTCCTGCACCAGAAGCGTCTACAGGCCCTGCTCTCTGCTCTTTAGGAGTATTTAACATGCTTCACAGAACCAGGGTGCAGCTCAGTGACTGTGATTCTTTGGTTTAAACACTTGGGGCTTCATCTTTGATTTATTCGACATGTTAAACTAATGTCTGTGCTTTAAATAACATTTCTGTTTAGAAAGTAATGTGCATCACAGATTATGTGTAGCTGAAAGAAAGTCATTTTTTCCCTTTCTCAATCTTGACATGTTTTGATTCCTTCAGATTTCAACAGAAATAACCAATAACTGTGGCAGACATTCTTACAACATCCTAAGTCTTTATGATGGTCATTTATTTACCCTTTTACAATGTTTCTGTTACTTTATAAACTACTTAGACAAATTTACAGTTAATTCCTTAGCAGTTTTCAAATGTACCTCTCCACCAAAAGATTTAATTTTCCTCTTATGTGACTTGACCATTAGTATTCCACAGAGAATTTATCCTATAATTCCATTTATTTGATGCTGAGTATCTGTAACCATCCTAAATTTACTGCAATATTTTACTTTCCTTTCTAATCAATTTTAGTCTTTTTAAATTTAAAGGTTTCATCTTTCCAGTATTAAGATATTTTTAAAAATCTTGATGTCTCAAAAATATCCAGAGATAACACAAAGGGGAACAAATCTAATAATCCACAGCTTTTGGTGTTGGGAACAGAAAAAACCTGCATTACAGACCTCCAACAGTTCTTGACTCCTATAAATGGCCTTTCTTGAGGGGTTACTGACTTCAGCTGCTTAGTCAAATCTACACATCCTCAGAAAACTATTCTTATAAGTCAATGTCCTCTACTGTGTCTTTATGTAGCCAAAGACACCTAGATCAATTTTATTCCCTCAGAGTCATGGAGATTCCTTATAAATACCTGTATGTCAAGTTTTGACTTTAAAAGGCATCTAACGTACAAATATTAAATGGTTTTCAGTGAAAAGGCAGAGGTATTAAACATCAGCAATTTCAATATACTAGGATCCTTTTCTCATTCCTTAGAGCTTTGGAGAGATGTACAGATACGAACTCATCTTTCTATTAAAAACAAGAGTGGTGCTACCAGAAACAGGTTTGGAGTTTGGAAGTGTGAATGGTAGAGTAAATGTCTTCGGGAAAGTGATTTTTGTAACAGCTACATCAGGAATTAAGAGCTCCTAGAGCATTCCTTTGCAATGTCTGCTTTACTTTTATGCTGCTTATAATCGGTAGCATTTAAAGGGTGATGGTGTTATAAAGTTATAATGGCCACACAGCAATTAAAGAGACCCTGTGGCATACCTCTACACAATGTGCTTCACAGGGTAACACTACTTAGAATTTAAAGGCCAATTCTTCACAATGGCACTCAAAGTATATATAAATTTAAGAGACATAAACGTTGTAGCTAGGCAAATTTAAAAGGTTAGCATGTTACTTAATTCATTTTTGAATGAGAAGTGACTTTCAATTTGTAGATGAAAATTTTTACAGATGAATAGAAGCAAGAATATGAGACAGGATAGAGAAAAAAAAAATCAGCTGAAAATTTTAAAACTGTGAACTCTGTAATGGCTGCAGATGTTAATGAATGTCGGGAACACGTGGTCCATGAGAAGTGGAGAGGAGAATGGAGGGGGAAAGGGGGAAAATTTGGGTCTGATAAAAGAAAAAAAAATACAAGGATTGTATTTTTGTATTTCTAATGAAGACATCAGAATTATAAAATGGAACTCAAAATTAATACTTTACAATAGATAAAAAGTACTACTGCTTATATGTAGGTTTTAAGAAATCAGTGTCATGTAGAAACACTATACAGATTTTGCTACACTTAAAATTCATTACTTGATAATGCCCTTTACCACACAATGTCTTTTACCATGCAAACTATATAAAGGAAAATTCTAACTGCAGGAACGAGTTTTAGGTATCTGAACGTGTTATAGAAAAAAATGGAATAAAAATTAAACACTTATCATCATCTTGACTATAGAGTAAGTTACTGTATCAAGGTGGGCAGAGAGAAAATAACAAACAGGGAACACCCAACAGTTATTTCAAACAAAAAGTAGAGAATCATCACAGATTTCCTTTGCATACATTACTTAGTATTCATGACTTCTATGAAATCTTTAAAGAATAGTGACGTGACATGTAAACTTTTAAGCAGTGAAGTCTTGGACTTTAAAAGGTGTTTTTCACATCCAATATAACTAACAAATTATTTCAGAAGATTATCTAAGTGTCACAAACAAGCAATGTATATATACTGCAATTTTATTTCAATCGCACAAACGAAGTTAGCGTGTAGGAAATTTAAGTGAAACAAATTTAAATGAAATAGTTACGGTAAAAATAGCAGAAAACTGAAAATTCTAAAAAGGAAGTATACCTAAAAGCATGAGAATTCAACATTCATTAGTGTTTCATCTTCAGTTTTGATTGACACTTGATGCTTTCAAATTTATAAACAAACTTTTAAATCATAACTATTCTGAAGAGATTTCAGCACCAGCACTAAGATTTGTACATTCAGTTTGTTTGCAATTGACTTGTTAGCCATTTACATAGTGTATAGTACAGATTTGTCACAGGTCAGATCACAGTGTTGAGGAAAGCAGTACCTTCCTGTAATTAATTAGAAAGGATCCCCTAAACTGTACTTAGCTTAAGACATCCAATGTACAAGAGCACAAAAACCATCATACTAATGTGGTTCCAAGGAACATAGTTTTGATAAGGAAAATAACTTAAGCTTCTGTTTCCCATTTTAATCACTGAAATCTCTAACAATGACACAACTGTCATGTGTACATGACAGAAAATGTATATAATAATTCGTTCAGACTTCTTGGAAAGAACACATTTAGCAATCTGGGATGATGGAAAATATAGCGTGATTCAACACTGGTTCTTTTTGTCATTTTACACAGACGTCATGTTAATATTAGACCAAGGCACAAAACGTTTAGTGCATAAACCCAGTTTAAGATTTAGCATTTTATTTTAGTCTCTTATCTTAGTTTGGACCACTTGTACCCAGTACTCTACCTACTATAGACTAGTTAACGTACCCAACAAAATCAAAAGAGGTTTCTGACCAGATTTATAGGGGATATAACTTTCTATTATCAAAGTGTTTGCATAACCAAAAGTATAATAATAAAGATGAAAATGCCTCCTATTTCTTTTAGAAAACAGAACTTCATAAGCTTGCTGTGCCTCTGATGTTTTTACTGCTACTGCATGACAATGCCTATCTGATAGAAAAAAGAAATGTATACTTGAATTATGACAGCTCATCCATCACAGTTTAATCTAAAAATGAAATTTCTACAGAAACAGGAACTATTTTAACAAAGAAAAAAAAAACCCCTCATCCAAACGTCTTTGTAGCGGTAATGGCTGCAGATCTGCAGCATTTAGAAAACTACATTATCAACGACCTTTGCTTTATGAACTGAGATGTACAAAATCTGGAAAGCAGATGAAAGTGAATTATTTCTTCAAAATTTTAGTAAAACTTCTGATAATCAGAGTTCAAAGCAAATATGGCACATGACGACTCAGGCATAAATCAGGATGGAGAGCCTGGAGACTTTGATTTCTTAAATTTTCCAGAAAGCTATCATTGCAATATATAGGATTTCTCCCCTATTTTAACCTCATCAGTTTCAAAGGAAAGAAAAGGGAGTGGCTTACATATAGACAGCATGTGCGCGAGTGCACACACACGCAGGATGGCGGGTAGAGTGTCTAATTCCTTCTTCCCACCACCCAAGTCCCACTTTACTTATTAAAAGAAAACTGCAGAACTCCTCATTGGTTTTCCTTTACCTAACGATTTCTGTGACCTTAATTGCTGCCGTCATTGTTATTTCTTGTATTTCAACATAACAAAATTCAAAAGCAGCTTCATTCAGGAACATGTATGTAAACACCTGTGTTAACAGCAGGGGTACCTAGGTAATAATAACTGCCAAATTCAGTGATCAAACTTTTGAGTTCCACAGTAAGATATTATGTGAAGCTCAGGATCATGTTTCAGACCATTGAAATTACTGGTTAAAATACAAATAGCTGAAGACATGATGTAAAAGATTAAGTACTTGGTTTTGTAACATATTTACCAATTAAAGTCACAAAATATTCCTCATTATTATTATTCATGCAGGTAATTGAGAAAAAGATAGTGCAGAAATCAACTTTAAATAAAAAATTATTCCTCCCCTTCCTCCCACTCCCCTATACTCTACAAAACGTTTTCCCTGGGACTAGGCCTTGAAAAGGCCACTACATATTAGTGTGACATGCATTACTGTCTGCAATTAAAAAAGCTAACTTTGTGGTGATTGTAATTACATTATAAAAATGTCCACATGCATAAATCTAAAAAAGGTTGAAAACCTACAGTAAATCTACAATATATTGTTTACATTTGACCACTGGTTTGTGTTATGTAGAAGTCATAGATTTGGTAAAGCATTGTAACAATTTAGGAAGGCATCTAAATCTTTAAATCCTGGACAAATTTTATGTTTTAATCTACAAAATTGCATGAAGGCTAACTCGAGAGACTTCCTATCATTCTAAAATTCCTCAAACTGAAGAAATCATTTTTAGGACACTTTCTTATAAATATTAACCTTTGAAAGCACTTACAATTCCATTTGTTCTGCGTATTATGATCTTAACTTACATAGGGCTGATCTCAATTATTCATGGAATATCAAACATGATAGGAAGAACAAACCTGAGAGAAACATTACAATACAATAGCAAACGTGCTCAATTCTTCATCAGCACTCTCTGCAAAAAAACTTCCTAAGCCTTTCTCCTCTTTATTTTAGCAACGAATTGTGGAAAATGTGCGATTTTATCTTGACATGAAAATATTTCAATGCGCGATGATCTTGCCTGATGGGTTTTAGTATTTTCTGCATAACTGTTACAGGAACTCTTATATGATTCTCTTCCATTCTGTTGTAAAGGCCAGAAAAAAGCAGCAAACTGAGAGGGAAAGAGCTTATCGCCAGAGTCATAATGTCTGAAGGCTTTCAGAGTAGGTTGGTTTTCCCCTCCTCCTGTTTGTCTCCATTTTCTTCTTACAGCTCATAAAATGTAGGGGTTTGCTGTTGTGAACAGTTGTTGTTTGTAGGATTTTTTTTTTTTTCCTCCAAATTATAGTCCTATCTCTCCTTAGTCTGTTTCTTTATGCAGTATTTGACTTGCTCAGTTCCTGCCTGATTGCTGGATAGAAAAGAACAAGTGTTGAAAATAAATATAATGATAAATTAAATAAATGAGTGATTCATTCTTAAGAAACTTTAAGGATGGTGCTCAAACTCACAGTAATAAAAAGATAGATTAACTTTGCATCTTTCATTGCATACTTCTTTAATATTAGAAAGATGATTCTAATTTCTATATATTTATTCTCTCTTTTTGTATACAAAATGAAAACACTGATTATGTGGGCTCAAAAACAAGGTGGCACTGGGATAGGTGAGTAGAGGTAACCTAGAGGGAAGATCTGTTCATATGGTTTTCCATCTAAGAAAAGACAACACCTGATATGTAGGGATACTGTTTAATCCCTATTTATACAAGTAATTTCCATTATATGAAGGAGAGACCTCCTCCCCAAAACCCTAATCTTAAAAGGGCAGGACTATAGAAGTAGTAGTCAAATGGCTATTTCCTCATTTGTATTTTCTTAAAAATGGTGAATCTTAAACACTGTTTAACAGGGATAGTAAACTTGCCCAGACACTTACCATCAATGAGCTCTTCTTTTAGCTTTGCTAATTCCTTTCTCATTTCATCTAAAATGTCCTAAAATATTAGAGAAAAATATCAGAAATACAGAAAAAAATTACTGCTAAAAAGATTCTTATTCATATAAAATTTTAAGAATGTCATGATATATGATGTGTAGGGTTGTTTTCTATTTCCAGAGCCACAGTTCTATTTCTTGGAAGACTAGCCTTGGTAAATTTTTTTTTAATATTCTTTCCTTCCCAATCCTGGCTTGTTCTAGGCTACCAATATGTGAAATAGAATGCTTTCTAAAATTAAGATAACGACTCTGTCATCCAACAGAAGGTATTCAGATAGTTTCTAGAAATGGTAACGCTGTGCTTTTCATCTAGTCCTCTGGGAACAGTCAGAGAGGTGATGCAAAGGAAGTTTAGAGGAAGAGATTACAGTAAACTGGACAATCGGCTCTTGGCAAATCTGTCCTTTAGTTTGAAGTATAATTTCTTGGAAACCACCAAAACTGCCAAACCATATTTCAAGGAGTCTAGGATTTCCCTGAAGGGACCTCAGGGATTACCCTAATGGGCAGACAGGAAGGTGGATGAGGCCCCGACTGACTCATGCTGTCCAATACAGCAGGCACCAGCCACATGCAGCGGCTGAGCCCTTGAAATGGGGCTAATCTGAAATGAGGTGTGCTGTAATTATAAAACACACATCATATTTCAAAGATTTAGTATGATGAAAATAATGTAAAATAACTCAATAATTTATAAAAATTGACTACATATTAAAACATACTATAAATACATTGTTAGTAAAGTTTTAAAATTAATTTTGTCCTTTTCTTTGTTTTGTATTTTTAAAATGTGGCTACCAGGAAAATTTTAAAATATATGTAGCCCACATTATATTTCTATTTAACTGTGGTGCTCTGGGCCCTTTTTAAGAACTGCAGATTTGGCTGGGTGTCGTGGCTCATGCCTATAATCCCAGCAGTTTGGGAGGCCAAGGTGGGCAGATCACTTGAGGTCAGGAGTTTGAGACCACTCTGGCCAACATGGTGAAACCCCCTCTCTACTAAAATTACAAAAGTTAGCAGTGCGGTGGTGTATACCTGTAATTCCAACTACTCAGGAGGCTGAGGCAGGAGAACCACTTCAACCCGGGAGGCGGAGGCTACAGTGAGCCGAGATTGCACCACTGCACTCCAGCCTGGGGGGCAGAGTGAAACTCTGTCTCCAAAAAACAAAACAAAACAAAACAAAAATGCAGAGTGTGGTAGCTTAAGCCTGTAATCCCAGAACTTTGGGAGGCCTAAGCAGCGGATCACGAGGTCAGGAGTTTGGAGTTTGAGACCAGGCTGGCCAACATAGTGAAACCCTGTATCTACTAAAAATACAAAAAATTAGCCAGGTGTGGTGGAAGGCGCCTGTAATCCCAGCTACTCAGGAGGCTGAGGCCGGAGAATTGCTTGAATCCAAAAGGTGGAGGTTGCAGTGAGCTGAGATCACTCCACTGTACTCCAGCCTGGCGACAGAACAAAACACCATCTTAAAAAAAAAAAAAAAAAAAAAAAACTACAGATTCAAGGTTAGAGGTCCTATGACAAAGTGACACAATTTTAATGGGTGAAAAATAACAGCTGTACTTTGGAAGGATTAGTTTTTGAATTGTGTGGCTTTCTTTAATACTGAATACCCCAGGAAAAATTAAATTGCTCTGTTAGAGTTTATCTTTTGAAAAGCTTTTCACATTTAAAATAAAACTATGAATTAGTTTAATGTCTTCATTTTAGCAAAGGAAGAGACTGAGACCCAGAAGTTATTAAACAGACTCACAGACATCCTGATCCAAATTCATCTTTAAATCACCCCCCAAATTAAATCTATTCCTCTGTTCTCCACCAATACTTCAGATAACCAAGAACTGACCATGTTTTCAAGTGTGTGAAAGTGCTTTATTTTAAAACATTTTTGAGAAAGCCATATTCAATGTACAGCAAAACAAGGGCTTGATTTTCAATGACCACACGCTCCCCTTTAAAATTATATAACTCAATTTAACTTTTCAAATAGCTTTGCAGTATAAACATTTGGGGTATCTAAAAAATGTACTTCACCTCTTCTGTGAATAAAATATTTCAAATCACAATCTTATCACTTATTTCTTTTTCCTGAATACACAGGTATTAAATATAAATATAATGCATATGTATCCAAATGTGGACAGTATCTTTTTCTTTTTTGTAAAATCAAGATAACTGTACACATTTGTTTGTTACCTGTTACACCTAACACAGGCAAGTGTTCGCAATTTACTAGTAAGCATACTAAATTATGATCCCTTGAAGCCTACAGAGCCCCTACTCCACCCACTATCTATTCAGGTACTTTTACAATATATTCTTTGAATAAATTCCTGGAATTCAAATCACTGAGTTCAAGGTAAGACACTTATTTTTCAGGCTTTTGATTCTGTTTTCCCAAACTGCTTTTTAGAAAGCAGAAGTATACAAAAGAGTGCCTATTTCCTTGCAACCTTGCCAAAATCAGATTTGTTGGGTCCAATTTTGCCAATATAGTAAGTGAAAAGGAAGAAGCCCATTATTTTCTTCACAACTGCATACCATACACTTACATTTACACTTTATACTGTTAACACTGAACCACAGCCCCACCCTCCACTACCTCCGCAGCTTCATACAAACTCATGGAAGTGAAAAGTGTAGATTTGAAAAAATAATACAGTACCAACTAATACCACTGTTTTATATAATAATATTCTAGCTCTACGCTCTTTTCAAGTATATTCAGGATACATATTTTTCGTTTTTTGTTTTTGACACAGAGTCTCGCTCTGTTGCCCAGGCTGAAGTGCACTGGCGGGTCTCGGCTCACTGCAACCTCCGCCTCCCGGTTCAAGTGATCCCCCTGCTTCAGCCTCCCGAGTAGCTGGGACTAAAGGCGTGTGCCACCACGCCTGGCTAATTTTTTGTGTTTTTAGTAGAGACGGGGTTTCACCATGTTGGTCAGGCTGATCTCAAACTCCTGACCTTGTGATCTGTCCACCTTGGGCTCCCAAAGTGCTGGGATTACAGGCATGAGCTACCCTGCCTGGACAGGATTTTTTTTTTTTTTTTTTTTTGAGACGGAGTTTCGCTCTTGTTGCCCAGGCTGGAGTGCAATGGCGCAATCTCGGCTCACCACAACCTCCGCCTCCTGGGTTCAGGCAAGTCTCCTGCCTCAGCCTCCTGAGTAGCTGGGATTACAGGCATGCGCCACCATGCCCAGCTGATTTTTTGTATTTTTAGTAGAGACAGGGTTTCACTATGTTGACCAGGATGGTCTCGATCTCTTGACCTCGTGATCCACCCGCCTCGACCTCCCAAAGTGTTGGGATTACAGGCGTGAGCCACTGCGCCCGGCGTAGGATATTTTTTAAAAAGAAACAAATACAAATAAAAGAAAGCTGCCACTGCGCGCCCACCTGCTTCAGCCTGTCGTAGTCAAGTCCTTCCGTCTGGACTCCATTGGCACTGGGCTGTGATAAGGGTGTGGATTTTGGTCTGTATAAATGAAATTTCCAGGACAGGTAAACAACATTCTTAATACTTAATGGGTTCATAAATAATTGCAAATTTACCAACCCAACACCAGATTTAAATACATTTCTTTAAAAAAGCCATTTTGTTAAAAAATTACCAAAATTGTACGGTTGATTAGAACAGAAAACAAAATATTTGTCACTTTTCTCAGTATTTTCTTATTTATAAAGGAACTAGAAAAAGGTGACAAGATGGTGAGGCTTCTTCAGAAAAGAGTAGAAGACGGTATTCTTTGGGCATGAGGTAACCAGATATCGTGGCACGTTGACCAAGACAGTGATGAAGAAGCCAGCTGAAACATCTGAGGCTCAAATAACACAATCTTGTTTTGCCTTTCTTTTGAATTTTTACATTATCTATTTAAATACCTGGGCAAACTAGTGAAACGAGAAACATAAAGACTTGCATGTTTTACACTGACATAAATCAGCTTACAAAGTTGATGCCTTGGATTGCAGGAAGAAAACATTTTTAGTGAGCATGATTTGCTTTATACATTTATTCCATTTCAAGCATCAAAACAAAAAATTTTTTAAAAATGATTATTAGGGTAGACTATATGACTATTTCCTCGTGAAATTTTTATGGAGACGTCATTTGAATGGTGTTTCAGGCTAACTACTTCCATAAATTTATTTTATTAAATAAAAAAGAAATGCCAGACAGAAGTAGACTGTCAATTATCATTGCACTTTCAAAAGTTTAGTTTCTATTAAAAGTCTTAATAAGTCAATGATTGAGTATATTTTGAACAAAAGTTTCAATACCAAATAAACCAGTCATGGCGCCCTCTCCAATTCTGGCAATAAAAGAGAATCCTCAGTGGAAAACCTACAGTTTTAATTAGGCACTCCTTTGGGTTCTGGTTTAGTACAGTAAGTGCCCTCTCTTCTTTATGAGCCACAAATCAATGCAATTTAAAACCATCAGGCAAATCATATATTTCTAATTTTGCAGAGTATCAACATTAGAAATCTGAACCAAGATCCAAGAGACATAATAAATTTTTCAAAATCATAATTTCATAATTCTTGCAAGACACAAAATACTTCAAACCCATAAGCATGGTTCCTGAAGATTAAACTCTGAGTTAATCTGCTTTTTTTCCTGTTGTTGTTGTTGTTTCTGAGACGCAGTCTTGCTCTGTTGTCCAGGCTGGAGTGCAGTGGTGCAATCTTGGCTCACTGCAACCTCCACCTCCTGGGTTCAAGCAATTCTCCTGCCTCAGCCTCCGGAGTAGCTGTGATTGCAGGTTTGCTACCAAACCTGGCTAATTTTTTTTTGTATTTTTAGTAGAGACAGGGTTTCACCATGTTGGCCAGGCTGGTCTCGAACTCCTGACTTCATGATCTGCCCGCTTCAGCCTCCCAAACTGCTGGGATTACAGGTGTGAGCCACTGCGCCTTCACTGTTAATCTGCTTTACTATCAAAACATATTACTGCTTAAAAGACTGTTATGAAGCAAGCCATCCAATTTTACTTTATTAGGTTATCTGTTTATATGAATGGAGGAAATAATAACTTTCAGAAAATTTCATTCAATAAACACTGAGCTAGACACTGTAGGGAATAAGATTTACATGAAACATTTCCTTTCCTCTTGTGAGGATACACCTTCTTACTTTGCTAGGGAAGACTACTAAATTCCAAGGTCATTTACTGAGATCCATAAAACACAAGTCATGGTGCCCTATGCAGAATCATGTCTAGTAAATGTTGTTAAAGGTTCGGACACCATTATTTCATATACCCACTCATGCTGCCTATTCCTGTTCTCAAGAATTAAACTGTAATTCATAATTACTCTGCTTTTCTCTTACGATTTCCATTTAAGTGGCCCATTTAACTAATTATTTTCTCAAGTTATATAATGAATACCTCTGAAATTCACATGAACAACTACAGTCTGGTATTTAATTGGGCAAGTATGTTATTAATATATCCATATTTATTAGGCAATGCAAAAAATTGTTATATAATAAACAATTGTGGAAACATGCAATTTTTTAAAAATTTAATTCATGCTAACATGCAATCCATCACCACCACCACCATGATAATTAACTAAAGGGGGGAACTTTTCATACTGAAGGAAAGATGTAATCACCACTTTTTTTCTTAACTTTTACCAAAAACATTTATCAATAACACCCCAGTGGGCACTATGTGTGAAAGCAGTAAGATAACTGAGCAGATTTTACTACATTAAAAAAAATACATATATTTTTGGACACAGGGTCTCACTCTGTCACCCAGGTTGGAGTGTGGTGACATGATCTCAGCTCACTGCAGCCTTGACCTCCTGGGCTCAAGCCATCTTCCCACCTCAGCCTCCCACAGGCACATACAACTATGCCTGGCTAATTTTTGTATGTTTTGTAGAGACGGGTTTAACAACATTGCCTAGGCTAGTCTCAAACTCCTGGACTCGAGTGATCCTCCCTCTCTGGCCTCCCGAAGAGCTGGGATTACAATCATGAGCCATGGCACCCAGCCTTAAAAATCTCATTGTTAAATGCTATTTTTCTATGTATTAACAAATTTTCTAAAGAAATTTTTTAGCCAAAACAATTAAACCACCTCAAAGGAAAGAAAAAGCAGAAAAAGCTATTTCACCATTGAAATTTAAAAGTTTTGCAAAGATTTAACTGGCTGACAATATTAACTTGTCAAGTATTTTGATCATTGATGGCATAAAATAATTTTAGCAAGTAAGAATTTGGCCAAAGTCTGCTTACAGAACTCCCAACTCACTGTGATAGACATCCACTACGAACACCATTTAATTCATATTCACAGTGGATGTGATGTATAAAAAATAGATGCGTATAACAAAGACATATTTCAGTTATTTCTTATCTATGGATTTTCATCATAATTGATCACCAAATGAGGGTTTCTCAGGTTTTTATTATTTTCTTTTTAGAGAGAGTCTTGCTGTCACCCAGCCCAGGGTGCAGTGGTGTGATCATGGCTCACTGCAGCCTGTAACTCCCATGCACAAAATATCTTTCTGTCCTAGCCTCCTGACTAGGTGGGATTATAGACACAAGCCACCAGATCCAGCTTATTTTTAAATTTTTCGTAAAGACGGGGTCTCGCTATGTTTCCCAGGCTGGTCTTGAACTTCTGACCCCAAATGATCCTCTAGCCTTGGCCTCCCAAGGTGCCAAGATTATAGGTGTGAACCACCATGCTGGGCCGGTTTTTTTTATGATGAGTGTTGCCTTTAAACATCTGCCTATAAAACAACTGCACTACTGTATTTAAGTCCCTATTCTGCCAAATTAATTGTGTAAGTAACTGGAAAGCATGAAGATTTTTTTTTAGCTGTCAAATTTTTAATTAAGAAAAACCTAGTTCATATCTTAAGTCTTCTTAATTAAAAAATGGGGCTCATCCTAGAAAACAATCTACTCAGGATGCTGGGTATTAAATTGTCAAAGATAATTTACTACAAAGTATCTAGGAAACAGAGATTTTCCTCAAAGAATTAATTATCCACAACCGTGGCTATAATATCAGCCCGTGTTCCAGTAACAGATGGAAAAGGATCTTCTATTCCAGTTTTTTGAAGCCTTGTCTTATAATCATAAAGAGAACAGCTTTTAAAAGAAAATGCTTAAGCTACAAATGGCCTAGATAATATATGTGGCCTTAGAGTCCCAGTCTAGTATTTCTACTATGTTTATCATTTGTATTTATCCTAATCCATCTGTAAAGTGATGGCAGAATTTTTAAAAGGTATTCAAAATAAAGTTTAAAAAAAAAAAAAAAAAAAACAACTTTGTGGTGATTACCAATCCAGGTAGAAAAAGCTCAGCCCTATCCTGAACATGTTATTTAAAAGTCTCAAATCACAACGTCACAGCAGGATGATACCTGTGTAATGAATCATAGGACCTGTTGTCAAAAACAATCTGATTTTTCCTTGGAGAATCCCGTCTATGAAGGGGAAAACCATTGAAAGGGATACACAATAGAACTTTAAAAAATAATTCTCATCATGTTACTGTTTTATAGGTTGTTAATAGCAAACAAAACAAGAATTGAGTCTATTAACCTTAAGATAACCGATTTTCCCCAACAGAAAAGATATTTTGAGACTACTAGTTACAGAAAATTTTAAAAATCACTATACAATGGCTATTTTTTATAGGTTGTAGGCACAGTAAGTATACAAAAGTATATAAAATTAACTCTTCTCAGGAGGCATGTAAAGGACTATTTTTCCTCATCCTGAATATAAGATCTGTAAGGTCTTAAAACCACAGATGAATTCACAAATCTTCCAAATGTTATAATCCAGTCATAGTTTAAAGCATTTTTAACCACAACATTCTTGCTTTTACTCTGACATCATCAATTAACAAATACAGCATATGCAGTATCTCACATATGAGACATTAATCCATCTTACCACTAACATAATTTTGACAAAGATATTCCAAAGAGAAATGGGCATCTTCACTACAATGCAAGGATGAGGCATACTTAAAGCGGCTAATATACCTGTTTTCTGAAGTGACAGGGGAGATAAATTAGGAAGGAAAGTAGTATTGTTGTTATTCTTTTAAACATATTTTTAAAGTATTCTATGGTTTAAAACAGGTTTTGGTGAAATTTTAAAACCTATATATCAGTAGTTGGATGAAATCTATCAAAAATATATGAGTGGTCAGGAAATAATCAGGAGTTTCAGACTTTCTATTCTGGGAAAGGAAACCACCTAACAGAATTGGAACATGATTATAGTGCACTACTGAATATTAAGACTCAAGATTCAACTAATCTGTAAAAAAATTATTTTCAAAATGGTGACCTTTAGAGCACTTACTAAATTTCCTTTAGAAGTCTGGAAAAAAAAAAAAATCCCTACCTCCTGGAATTAGGAAAAATAAAAAAATCTTTCAAATAATGACTTTTCCTTTACTAAATGGACCAAATACATAGAAGAATGTATTCCACTTGGAGAACGTCTTCCATGTCCGTTTCTAAGACATGACTTCTGCCATCAACGCAGGCTTGGCTTTAGCTTACTGTGGAACACAGATCAATGAAGCAGGGATAGAGAGAAAGGACAAATGACACATGACAGGTCTGCAGACTGGAGTGCGACAGCGTGATTATTAGTTTACTGCAATCCTCATCTCTGAGGCACAAGTGATTCTCATGTCTCAGTCTCCCAAGCAGCTGGGACTATAGGTATGTGCCACCACGCTCAGCTAATTTTTGTATTTTTAGTAGAGATGGGGTTTCATCATGTTGGTCACGCTGGTCTTCAATTCCTGACCTCAAGTGATCTACCCACCTTGGCCTCCCAAAGTGCTGGGATTACAGGCATGAGCCACTACACCTGGCCAGCTCCTTGTTATGGGCTTGATAAATCAGCACTTCATAATGTGCCGCTAAAGAAAGTCCCTAACTTTTTTAGTAGAGATGTGTTAGAAGGCCATCTCAGTTAAGAGTCTGAGAAACATAAATGTGCAATTTTTCTACTCTACTGAAAACACATGTCCGCCAAAAGCAATTCCCCTCTTTCTTCTAAAGTCAAATATGATCATCTTTCAATCACTTAAAAACTAAAAGCTTTTATACATTCCAAAAGGCCTAGTTTCTTTGTGGAGCTTAAATAATTGTGTCGTCTTCTTTCCTATTAGCAGAAAGAACCACACAGAAAGCCAAATCCAAATTTAGACTTAGACTAACAGAGCAGGTCTGCGATAATATAAAGTCTATCCTTGTACTTTATTAGGTTTCTATAATTAGAGTCAAGTTGCTTTTTATATAGAGACAAAAACAAGGCAAATAGCTCAGAAAGAAAAGACAAAATACCTTTTCGTTTCTAAATACATACTTTTTTTTCCGGGAAAAATACAAGCCCTTTGTTTAAACTGTCTCTTAAACCAAGAAAAGGTTTCATTTATGTTCAAGAGCTGTGATATAAATTTAGTTATGAAAATAAAGTATGCTTAGCTAAAGGAAGAACAAATTTGCCTAAACTATGCCCACAAGCACTTGTAGAAACAAGTATTGAGTAGCTTCATTTCTGGATACTATCTTTTCTAACTTGATTACACTTACAAGTTTCAAATGAGATAGGGAAATAACATGTTTCTACTTTACAAATTCAAAATTTTAGGTTTCATTTTGCTCTCTTTTCTTTCCAGCTGATTTTCAGGTTTTAAGAAGGTTCCAAAAATTACATTTATGATAATACTATTGTTCAGTGTTAAATTTCTTTTTTTTTTTTTTTATTTTTTTATTTTTCAGCTGCATTGTTATCTTTTTTTTTTTTCCCATTTATTTATTTTATTGCATTTTAGGTTTTGGGGTACATGTGAAGAACATGCAAGATTGTTGCATAGGTACACACGTGGCCGTGTGATTTGCTGCCTTCCTCCCCATCACCTACACAGTGTTAAATTTCTTAAGAGTAATAATGGTATTCTGGTTACATAGCAGATGTCCTGGTTCTTCCAAAAAACACTGACGTATTTAGGGTGAAGCAGTCCTTATTTGAGAACCACTTTCAAACTAATCAGAGGGGAATGAAAGAGTAGATCTGTAGACAGTTAAGACAAGTGGGGCAAAATGTTGACAACTGTTTAACCTAGGAAACGAGTACACGTGTATTCGCTATACTATCCTTTTTTCTGTAGTTTCAAATTTTTCAGAATACAAATTGGGAAAGATAAAGCTATCTTAAAATCTCAGATAATATGGCTAATGTAGGCTAGAATTTATCAACCACTAGTAACATAGATGAGTAAGATATAATGAAGCTCAGTGGGCTGTCAAATAGAATCATGAGAGTTTTATGGGCTCCTCTGTATAATTTCTAACTTACCATTCAATCTTTTTCTACAATAAGAATGTATTAATTTCTTTTTTTATACAAATAAAATATAAAACTTAGAGAAAAAAATTGATACCTGGAGATAACAGGTGACTTGCTGCCATTCATTGTATTTGTTCTTTCCCAAGGTTTTCTTGTTGGTTCTTTAAAAATGAAGAACAAAAGTTATTAAATATATGCTTCCAGAGTTATTATAAAACAAATAACAAAATACTAAATATCATTATACCTGTTTACATAGTAGTAATATAAATAAAAATTTAAATTCTAAACTTTAATTGAAATCTGTAAGGATTCTAATTTGCACAATCCCAGACCTTAAAATGAGAAGAAATTATTAAGCTAGTATGGTAAGTTTCCTAGGAAAAACTTACATTGTTAAGTCTAAAATATTATAATTCTATAAACTGGATGGTAAGGAGTTTCCCTAAGAAAGAAAGAATAGTAAGAATAAAGTAGGATAATTTTAAAATTAGGACTGTTCGATTAAAATGGGAGAGTATTACTGACACTATTTTAAACTGTTTTTAGTACCAACGATAAAAACAGTAAGTGTAATTTATAATATGTTCATGTATTTCAACATTTAATCTAAATTCAAATAGTGCCTCTTGGGAAAAAAAAAAGAAACAACTCAAAATAAATTTCAGAATCCTGAAATTCTATTGCACTTCCTTGACAATCGATTCTTGGGACTTAGCAGATAATTCCAGTTAAATATAAACAAGTCTGCTCTAAGCTCTTATTACAAAAGACACTATGTAGTGAGTGACTCACTAGTTGACTGTCTATTGTGTTTGAATTGTTTTTCTAATCTGGGCTGACTCACTGATGCTGACACTGACCTCACTAATTGGGTAAAATCAGAAGCGGAATCTTGTCATGGAGGAAAGGATTTGGGCCACATGAGAATGAAGTCTATTTATGAGTTGTGGTCTCACTGTATAGTTTTAACTTAAACTGCTCTGAGTTCCAGTGCAGCTCCTCGAACTGGCTTTTGCACATTCTCACTTAGATAGTTTATGATCTCTTCAAAGTACACTTATGCAAAAATAAACTCACACTCTTCCATGAAGCCCTGCTTTTGATTCTGGATTTCTGTTGCATGCAGGCATTAGGTGTGATATCTTAAAGTTATTATTGATCTTGCTTTACTCCTTATCAACCAGTCAAATTCCTTCCTTTTTATATTCCTTCTTTTGTATTCTAACAGCTAACACAATCTCTCAATGACCGCCACAGTGGTGGCAAGTTCCACACTTGGCTGGGAAGATCAAATAATCGGATGGGATTTGGGACAGACGGAATCAGAAACATCCAACTGACACCAGCCCAAGCAGGTGAAAAGAGGAAAGTCCTGACTCAAACTGAGGGACACCTGGACAGGGAGGGGGAATGGTCATCAGGGCACTGTCACTAAAGAGGAAGCAGGTGGAAGGATAAGGGAGTAATTCCAAAGTGGAGAAGATGTAGCAAGTGCCACCTTTTAACAGCTGACTGAGGTGCTTTCTCAATCAGCAAACCAGAACTATCTTTTAGTCTTAAAAGCGCTCATCTGGTTGTGAGGAAGAGCTGTTCAGCTGGCTTTCTGGATGCTGAGAAGCATGGCCCTCTGCTCTCTAAGGAGCTCAGGTGTGTTTCAGGAAGGGCAGGGGCTGGGTTCCCTTCAGAGGATCTTTACTGGCACGTGTACAGAGCTTCCTAATGGTCTGCCTGTCTCAGTCCTCCCTAGTTTCAATGGGAAAATCACAAGTGCTATTTTAATGTGCCTCAAACAGTTTCAGTGAATCAAACGTCAACTCAATACTTGCAGGATAAAGTCTAAACACTTGATCATTTTATAAAAGGCTCTCAACATTTTTGTTTCTAACTTATATTTCCAACCTTTCCCCCCCCAATACTCCTGAAAAAGAATTCCCCATTCTAGTCTATTCACTATTTCCTAATGTCTTCTTGCTTATCTCTAACTCTATACCTTTGCTCATGCTATACTTACAATCTGAAATATCAAACCTTCCCTCACTTTCAGTCAAACTAAATACTCTTCAAGCCATACTAAGATGTCACTTTTCTCTACAAAGATGACTCAGGTGACTACTATGTGTCATCTCCTCCATCTTTGACAAACTACTGAGTATTCAACATGTGGCTGTAAAAGGTAAACTTTACACCTGTGTGTCTCATCTTCCCAGTCGGACGATGAGTTTTTTGCGTTCAGGACTTTACCTTTCACTTCAGGTATCTGACACGATGTCAATTTAAAAACAGAATGAAACAAGTGACAAAAGAGGCCTTGCCCTTTCAAATGAATACTTGATTTTATATATATAGCACACATAAAAATGCTGTGCTTTAGTTTTTCATATTTTATATAAGGGATTATATATTAGATAAGAAATTTTTAATTTGGAGTCCATGGATAACCTTTAAGAAATTCGTGAATATTCTGAAATTATGAGCAAACTTGTATAAAAATACAATTTTCCTCCCTGGAAAGAGATCTATAGTTTTTTCTAAACGTTCTGTAACCCTGAAGTACAGTTTGGATTTACAATATCTATGTGTTACTAATGACAGCATATATAACTAATTCTGGCTTATACAAAGGAGGATAGAGCTAAAATAAATGACTCACAAACCCCTGAACTTTTAATGAAAATAACATAAACTGAGTCCCTTCAGAAGGAAAACAAAGTCATGATGTTAATTATGATACAGTAATCAGACTACTGAAGAGTCACTGTTCAATAATGAGAATGACGAATTAAGGGGGTGGGAAGATAGATTACAATCACAAAAACAAAAACAGAAGTACAGCTACTTGGGGGCTGGTGAGGGTAAGGTGGGAGGATCACTTTAGCCTAGGAGGTGGAGGTTGCAGTGAGCCAAGATTGTGCCATGGTACTCCAGCCTGGGCAACATAGTGAGACTCCATCTCAAAAATAAATAAATAAAAATTAAAAAGGGAATTGTAGTTGCAGCTGGTTGTCTTTAAATCAAAACTATAGGAATATGAGCATTTCTCAATAATGGTTTCCTATGGACCATTCTAGATATAAATTTATCAAGTTTATTTGTCGCATCATTCCAGAACAGATAAGGAGCTGAATAGATAGTCCAGCCCTTAGTCTTTAATCAAATATGAAGAAATGACGTGACTGTGTAATGAGTTCGTATTCTCATCTTGGATACAGTACTCATCAAGTATCTCTAGTGAAATACACTTTGTTAATATTCTAGGTAATTTACCAGATGCTCAAGAATACTCAACGTCAGACATTTCAATGAATTCAAGAACACTTGCTAAAAAATTTAAGGAGATTCTTTTAAGCTTACAAATCAGAAATTTTATTCCCTTAATTATCAATATAACCCCAATGAATGGCTAGAATGACACCCTTCTCAATTTGAGAATGTTTGGAAAGAAACTGCAGTACTAGCTAAAACGTTCACTTAATTTTTACCTTTAGGAATCAATTATGAAAATTACTTCCCTGTAATCTAATAGTATATTAATATTTTCCTTGTTTTAATAAGTAACCTCAAGAAAGTAACAGCAGCTTCCAGGAGTAAAGAAGTTAATGCCTTTGGGTGTAAACAAAATACTCTGGTATTTTAGTGTCTAGTCATTTGGTTCAAATATGGACAAAGGGGGAATTTTTAACTGGGGAGTATTAATATTTAGAGAAACTTTATAAAGGTTAACATATTTATCTTGAACTTACCAGGCGTACTTGTTGAAGAGACTTTAGAAGTTACAGGCTCTGAATCTTCCTAAATATACAGATATATATTAATGTCACATCTACTGTTAACTTGCTCTATATACATCTACTGCGTTACACATCCACTTCTAACGTTCTTTCTGCCACTCCCCACTTTCTCTTTCATTGGTCTTCTCTCCCTTTCTTTTCATCGTAGACCTCTTTCTTCTCCTGCCTTCAACCACTTCCCCATCGGCCCTCCCCACAGCTCCTTTCCTCGTGTGTTCTCACTAAGAACTTGCAGTAGGCCAAGACTACAAGGCCAGACACAAGAGACAGATTTGAGGAATGGCAACAAAGGTGGCCAAATGGAGCAGGGGAAACATATTTGCTGCACACCAATATACAGCACAGACAAAGCAGAGTTTGCCCAGCTCAATCAGGGAGGAAGGCATGAAGGTCACACTCTTAAGGGGCACAGCCAATAACCACTGAACTCCTAAGGGAAACATACAAATTTAGGCTAATTCCTTCATTTTAAATTAATGCAAGGGAACTGAGATTCTAAGAGATTTTTTTTAAAAAGTAGTGAAATGTTATTCACTCATTTAAGGAACAGAATTAAACTCTACAGGTTTGAACTTCAGTGCTTTTCCCACAACTCCACATATTCAATTTATTTTACTAAAACTGCCATTAAAAATCTATAAATAACAGTCAAAACAAGCCACTTTACATGCATAAAGATTAGCAAATGTAAGTTCAAACTAATTAAGTCCAAATTAAATAAACACTGACACCATTTCCTGAATGAGCTGTGCTTGAATTCCACATTTTAAGGTATGGTAGACTGTATTAACTTACACCTTTGTCCTCTTTTTGTTCTGTTTCTATTGTTGATCCCTTTTCAGCAATTCTTCTCCTACAAAGAAGGCAAATCCAATTTTTAAAAATATCATCTGACGCAGTATAAAAATGACTTCACTACGAGGGAAGAACAGCATCTAGTCAGTTGTATTGGGAATAAAATTAAAATCCTCTCAATCCTGGGCATGTCCACTATAATGAAATTCCTTACCTCCTGGCCAGCAGGGCGCTCATTTCTTCCATTAAACCACTACCCCCTAAAGGAAGGGGTCCATTTCCACGGCCGGTATCTGTTTTAGATGAGGCTGAGTTCACACCAATAGCATTCCCTCCACTTGGGAAAGAGGCATCCTCCATCTTAATGAGAATATACAGACATAATCAACTCCTATGTTAGACCACCATATTTTTATTAATATATTACATTTAAAACAGAAGGAAACATCAGCATTAATTTTAAAGCCTAAATATTATTTTTTAAGCCTTAAGAATCAATAGATTCTTTATATATCATTGACTTTATATATTAACAAGAGTTTATCAAAACTAGTATCACCGAGAATTCGATTAAACAATATCATGTGTCTCTTCCTGTGTTGCCCTAAAAAGGGCAGAACTTTACTTTGATAATATTCCTGCTAAAACAATCCCTGCATAACTTGAATCTAATCTTGAAGAAAAATCAGACAAACCAACTGAAGAATAACAGGCAAAATAACTGTACTATAGTCTTCAAAAATGCCAGTATTACGGAAGATTGAGAAATTGTCATAAAGCATATCCAAGAGACATTATAACTAAATGCAATAAATGATCTTGCACTAGGAAAATATTTGTCACTAAAGACATCATTGGACTATAGGTGAAATTTGAATATGATATATTTGTAGATTACAGTATTTTACCAATGTTAATTCACACTGAAGTACTTAGAAAATAGAAGCCATGGCTCATGCCTTTAATCCCAGTACTTTGCGAGGCTGAGGTGAGCGGATCACAAGGTCAGGAGTTTGAGCGCAGCCTGGCCAATATGGTGAAACCCCATATCTACTAAAAAAAATACAAAAAATTAGCTGGGTGTGATGGTGTGCGCCTGCAGTCCCGGCTGCTTGGGAGGCTGAGGCAGGAGAATTGCTTGAACCCAGGAGGTGGAGGTTGCGCCACTGCACTACAGCCTGGGCGACAAAGCAAGACTCCATCTCAAAAAAAAAGAAAGAAAGAAAATAGAAGCCTGATGTCTCTGAGTTACTCTAAAATCATTCAGACAAAATTACATGTGTAGACAGGACGCAGTGGCTCACACCTGTAATCCCAGCACTTTGGGAGGCTGAGGCAGGAGGATCACCTGAGGTCAGGATTTCAAGACCAGCCTGGTCAACACTGTGGAAACCTGTCTCTACTAAAACTACAAAAATTAGCCGGGCATGGTAGTAGGTGCCTGTAATCCCAGCTATTAAGGGGGCTGAGGCAGAATCACTGGAACCTAGGAGGTAGAGGTTTCAGTGAGCTGAGATAGTGCCATTGCACTCCAGCCTGGGCAACAAGAGTGAAACTGCATCTCAAAAATAAACAAACAAAGAAACAAATAAAGTGCATGTATAATGAAGGAAGCATAGCCAAAGAAGGAATAATAAAGCAAATACTGGTAAAATGTTAACGGGTACATCTAGGTGATGAAATTATAGAAATTATTTATACTATTCTTGCAACTTTACTATAAATTTAAATTATTTCAGTTTTTAATTTATTTTTTGAGACGGTGTCTCATTCTGTTATCCAGACTGGAGTGCAATGGCAGGATCTCAGCTCACTGCAACCTCTACCTCCCGGGTTCAAGTGATTCTCCTGCCTCAGTCTCCAGAGCAAATGGGATTTATAGGTGTGCACCACCATACCTGGCTAATTTTTGTATTTTTAGTGAGACAGAGTTTCACCATGTTGGCCAGCCTGGTCTCGAACTCCTGACCTCAGGTGATCTGCTCACCTCAGCCTCCCAAAATTCAGGGATTATACAGCTGTGAGACACCGCACCCAGGTAAATTATTTCCATTTTTTAAATAAATGAAGTTCCTAACAGTTCACAAAATTAGAATACAATAAAGTCAATATTTTAGATATTTAGAAAGAATAAGACATTTAAAAAAAAAAAACAACCTCAGAAATGTATTTACCCGCGACACTTTCCTAAGTTTTGCTCCGGCAATTGCAGCTGCAAGTCCAGTTAATGGGCGATTGTCTTCTGACATGGATCCCGAAAAGAATCCAGATGCAGGGAGGGGAGGGGCAGGAGGCGGTGGAGGTGGAGGGGGTACTTGATTAGGGAGAGGAGGGGGAGGAGGAGGTGGTGGAGGCCCAGAGGATGGGAGTGGAGGAGGTGGAGGGGGTCCTGGGGGAGGAGGGAGTACTACTGAAGCCTGTGCAGGCCCTGGTGGGAGTGGTGGAGGAGGTGGAGGTGCAAGTGGTCCCAAGACAAGGCCTGAGAGAGAAAAATGCAAAGTCAGACCATCAAAAATAAAGCTGGGTAAAATTATTTTATGTGGGAAGGTACAGAGAGTCCCATGCTAAATTAAATTGACACATGTATTTACTTAATGAGTTCAATTTATCATAGTTGTAAAAGTCTAGATCAGTTTTTGAAAGATACTGAAATGTAAAGAAGGTCCAAGTGTACATAATTACTTTGATATTAGAGCTTTAGTAATAGAATGATGCAACAGATATCTAACTAAGATTTTTTTTTCATGGGGTTGTGGTATATAAACAAAATAAATAGTTATAAAATTTGGGAGAGAGGTAAGCAATCCTGAAAAAACAAACTAGTATATATGATGGCAGTTAGTACTACTTGAAACAACAGACCCAAAATAATCCGCATTAACCTTAAGTGTTGAGACAGTAAATTCAGTAATAGTGAAAACATATATTTAGTTGTTTACAGTTAAAGTGGCTGGATTAAAGACATGAAGGAGGAGTAAATCCCAGGCTGCAGTATTTTTTTTAAAACTTCACATTTAAATTTAATGCATAGGCGAGGTTGAGAAACACTGAAGTAAAGGAGTTTACTAGTACAAAGTAAAACCTCAAAATAATACTCAGAAATAATTAAATACCATAGAACTTGAAGTACAGAGTTGTTTTAACCCACAAGATGGGGAGCAAGAAGAGAAATGTTCAATTCTTATAAAATCACAGAGTGAACAAGAATTTATTTAAGAACAGAATACTGAAATAGTAGGTGCTCCTTTTGTTAAGGTCTAAAAAGGGTGTTTTCAGAACGAATAAAATGCTATTTTGCATACTGGGTGGTAAATGCTAACTTTTTCAGCTTGAGCCCTTACACAAGCAGAAAACATCAATTGTTCAAAGAAGCATCTAGAAATAGGATGTCCCTTCTGTAGGGGTTGTTAGAGTTCTGAGGGTACAGCAGATCACTTTGTCAGCTGGCTGTGCCCATTTTTTGTCACAGTGAAACCAAATTGGACATTTTAGAATTCTGACTCACCTTTTAAGCAAATTTGATAAGTCAACAACAACAACAAAAATATATATACAGCAATAACAAGACTTGCGATGTTTCTTTAAGTACAAATTTGTTTTCAGCTTTCTTTCTGCAATCCTCCTTAAATCATATTTTTAAAAACTAGGGTTGCCAAGCATCTTATTTACTTACAGAACCAGGTCCTTTTCTACTTACAAATAATCCACTTAGAGATTACATCCTCCCTTCCCTGTTACCATAACAACAGGTAGGGGTGGGGAGAATAATTGCAGAGGATGCTATTCTGTCCCCATTACCCCTCAGGCCGCTTCTTATTGTAATTTTGGACCTTGGAACCCTGTAGGACATACATGAAGCCTGCCATCCTCTCTGCTCCTCCTGCAAAGTCATAATGCTCCAAGGATTAGGGTGACACCTATCCTGAAAAAGTCCAACATGGGGAATCTAATATAGGAAAGGCAAGAATGAACTAGGGCCCAAGATCAGAACTGCTCCAAAGGAAACTCTGGGATGATGTATCTAATGACTACAGTTGGGCACTAAATATATCTAAGTCTCCCAGAAAATAAAAGAAGACAATTTAGATCATGTATGTATTATGTGGTAGATTACTGCATCAAGCAAAGTTTTCTCAGTGAAAGAAACATATTGGCTGGGTGCGGTGGCTCACACCTATAAACCCAGCACTTTGGGAGGCCAACTGGGGCAGATCACATGAGGTCAGGAGTTCAAGACCAGCCTAGCCAACATGGCAAAACCCCATCTGTACTAAAAATACAAAAATTAGCCGGGTGTGGTGGCATGTGCCTGTAATCCCAGCTACTTGGTTGGCTGAGGCAGGAGAATTGCTGGAAACCGGGAGGCGGAGGTTGCAGTAAGCTAAGATTAAGCCCCTGTACTCCAGCCTGGGCAACACAGCAAGACTCTGTCTCAAAATAAAGAAAGAAAGAAACGTATTATGAGGGCTCTTAAATACTAGAAAACATTTTTAACTGTAATACTACAAAAGATATCAAAACCTAGTTCAATATGAAAATTCCTCCAAATGCAATTACTGTAATCCAACAGGAAAAAAATTTTTCTACTTTAATTTTTTAAATTAAAAAAAAAAAAACAAAAACCCATGGCATTATGGCATATAAATGTTCAAGGATCAAAAACATCCTACTCATCCATTCAGGCAATTAAAGTTGCTGCTATATAACATTTTCAAGTGATTTGCTGTTAGTAGCAATAATGAAAGCCTTACCCTGTTGGGCTGGAGTCTCGGCCGGCTGAGAGGCTGCCTGCAAGCCTGGCTCAGAAGCAGAAGAGTCTCCCAGCACAGAGTTTAGAGGAGTCTCAACAGAGGCAGGGGCAGCTGCAGAGGGAGAAGGGAGAACACTAGGCTTGGATGAGGGAGTTGAGGCAATAGGGGTGCTTGGAGGAGGAGAAGCTTGAGATCCACAGTGTGACAGTGATGCGAGGGAAGGCAGTGGAGGCGGCGGCGGAGGAGCTGCTGGCCCTGAGGTAGGCGGTGGAGACACTGGATATGTTACAGAGTCAACCAGCCCATTGGGTGCTGTCGGTGATGGAGGCATTTGGGGCACAGGAGAAGAAACACAAACAGGGAGGACAGGCCTTGGACCAGTAGCTTTGCCTGGGGGGCTGCTAATCATTATTGGAGGAGATGGAGGGAGGGGCGAAAAATTGGAAGTAGACCAGGCACAGGGCTTCGTAGCTGGAGGCTGAGAAGAGGGTGTGTTCACAGGAGAAGAAGGTCGAGAGTTTTTGTTCAGAGGACGAGGAACTGTAGCGTAATGGGGAAGAACAGGGTGGAAGGCTGAACCTAAAGATGTTGCAAAACGTGTCGCTGAGTGTCGCAGTGGTGGTGTAGGGGGTGTGGAAGTAGGTGGCAAAGCAGTCACTACAGCATAATCAGGAGTGGCATCTGACACTGGAGCTGAGATGACTTTAGCGTATGATGGAGGAGGTGCTGAAGGAGGCTGGCAACTGGAATACTCAGGAAGTGGAGCATTATACAGGGAGCTGTCTGAAGATGGAGCTGGACAGAAGGTGGAAAGCAGCAGCAAAAGACAGGATAAAAAAGGAGAGAGAAAAAGGGAGCTAGTGAAGCCACAAAACCAGCATTCAGACACAATGTATAAATGTAGACTACAGTTAGTACCAGAGAATTAGGCACAAATGCAAATAACTATCTTCACCCAAGAATATTTTAACTTGTAAATACATTTTGAGATTCAGAAGAGTATAAGTTTCCTTTTTATCTAATAAGTGGATTAATAAATTTAACTGACTAATTTATCCTTTACAAGAAAAAGCTAGTATTAATCTTAATTTTTAATATTTAGTCCACAAGAAAAAGGACATTAAAATCACATGAATAGGACCATAAACAGAAGAATAAATTTAGTTGTTTTTTTAAAACAACAAATAGCAAAACTAGTAAAACTGGCAAAACATTTAATACAAAGTGTGAGAAACTTCCTATTTGATGCTTATTTGTGGGAAAGTTTTGTTTTGTTGGCCATAACTCCAGAAAATAATTAGGTAGCTAAAAATATATAAATTAACTTAAACAATAAACCAACCAACCACTATTTAATCAACCCACATTGAGACTTTTTATATAGGCCATAAGGAATATTCTTAAATCCTATAATGAATGTTAATTTTAATAAATGTTAAAATATCTCAAACTTTCAGCCATATCTTAAACCTTTTGTCTTTCAGTAACATCAGATTTCATAATTTTCACTAATTTTTCGTAATACTAGAAAGCATACTTAAATAACTGGTCAGTTTTAGCGAATATTTTTCACCTACTAATTCTTCCTTCAAAAACTTTCGAATGCAATCAAGCAAATTTCTTGCTGAATGGTACTATAGCCTATAGTATTTGAGACAATTTATGTGATCTCATGTGGGAAATATATTTGAAGTTCATCCAGTATAAAAAATTTCCCATAAAAACACACTTACACTTTATAGCCAATTTATAGGGAGTTAGAATTAGAATGGCAGAATAAAAATTTCCAAGAGCTTTAAGTCTCCAAGCAATAAAAGCAATATAGAAACAAAAAGAAATTGTTAAAGTAGTAATTGCTGCATATTTTTCATAATTTCAAATTGTATGGCTTCATCCCAAGCATCTCAAATGTGAAATATTTTAACACATGACTGCACAAGAGACATCATCCAAGCTCAGATACAAGAACACAGAAGGGTTTGTAAACTTCTTACCAGCATTTGATATTCTGCGCTCTCTCTCCCATTCCAGCTGTTCCCTTTCTAACTGTTCTTGTCGCTCCCTTTCTTGCCTCTCCCGTTCCAGTCTCTCCAGCCTCTCTCGTTCTTGTCTTTCTTGCCTCTCCCGATCCAGGCGTTCCTGCCGCTCCAGGCGTTCCTGCCGTTCCCGTTCTTGTCTCTCTCTCTCTAGCTGTTCTTGTTCCAGTCGCTCCCTCTCCAGCCTTTCCCTTTCTAACCTCTCTCTCTCCAACCTCTCCCTTTCCATTCTTTCTCTCTCCAGCCTTTCCCGCTCCAGCTCCTTTTGTCGTTGCTGTTCTTGTAGTTGTCTGAAAAAAAAAAAAAAAAAAGGTAAAAACATGCATCTATAGATAATCATCATGAAAAGTAATTCTTTTCAGCTATGTAAATTATTTTTGAGTCAAATAAAAGCAATGTAGAGCATCCAATCAACATCTCTCTTCCACATAACGGCCACCTTGGATAGAGATGACTTATGTTTCATACAAATAAAAAACATTTCTCCTATTGGCATCATAGGAGCTGAATGCTTCAGCATATTACACTAACATTTCATTTTATTCTGTACTTTTCGTGAGTACTGTTGCAAGTAAATGAATTTTCCAAATAACTCAACATACCACTTTAATGACCAAGTCATTATTTTAATCATTTAATGAAAAAAATTTGTAAAGTTGTAATATCCTTCCTAACATCAAATTTAATTGTACAAATAATAATTATCATTTCAGAAAAAACAATGGCTGGCTACAGCAATAGTTCAATAAATGTTTACTGAACAGGCCAGGTGTGGTGGCTCACACCTGTAATCCCAGTACTTTGGGAGGCTGAGGCGGGTGGATCTCTTGAGGTTAGGAGTTCAAGACCAGCCTGGCCAACATAGTGAAACCCCATCTGTACCAAAAATATAAAAAATTAGCCAGGTGTGGTAGCGTGCACCTGTAATCCCAGCTACTTGGGAGGCTGAGGCAGGAGAATCTCTTGAACCTAGGAGGCAGAGGCTGCAGTGAGCCGAGATCACGCCACTGCACTCCAGGCTGAGTGACACAGCAAGACTCCGTCTCAAAAGCAACAACAACAAAAATGTACTGAATGAAAAAGAGACAAGAAAGAAGAAATAAACTTTAAATGATTTGAAATCTCATACCCAGAGGCAACTACCACCAACATTTTGGGTGTGTATGTCTCTCTCTCTCTATATGTGTGTGTATACATACATATACATCTATATAACATATAGATGATATAAAAACATGTATGTATATATGTATATAATGTGTATACATAGGCATATACGTATACATAACATACATACGTGTTATGTATACATACACATAAATAACATACACATATATACATGTCATATAGGTATGTATACACATATATAGACACACATCTATACACATATACCTATATAGACACACACACACACCTATATACCTTTAGGCTTTCCCTCATGTAAAAATACACACATAAACTTTAAAAACCAAATAAAATATAATCATTTCCTGCTACTGTGAAATCCGCTTTTTTTCCTCCTACTTAATATATTGTGAAAGTTGGTCTGGGTGAGGTGGCTCAGGCCTGTTATCCTAGCACTTTGGGAGGCTGAGGTAGGAGGAGTGCTTGAAACCAAGAGGTCAAGATGGGCCTGGGCAATGAAGTAAGACCTATCTCTACAATAAATTTTAAAATCAGCCAGGCATGGTGGTATGCACCTATATTCCCAGTTACTTGGGAGGCTGAGGGAGAAGGATTCCTTAGGCCCAAGAGTCTGAGGCTACAGTAAGCTAAGATTACATCATCACACATCAGCCCAGGCAACAGAACGAGACTTTATCTCCAAAAACAGTGAGAGAAGAAAGGAGGAAGGGAAGAAGGAAGAAAAAGAAGGGAAGGAAGGGAGAAAGGAAGGAGACATAAGCTAGTGAAATTGAGGATATCTAGGATGAGAACCTGCCTGTGTGTACAACTCTGGCTGGCCACACACACACACACACACACACACACACACACACACACTCTTATCCTAAGGCGTTTAGTTCAGTATCTGTATTTTCCATGAATGCATAATAGTCAATTGTTTAGCTGTTCACAGTCTAAGCAGTCTCCTATAGTAGGATATTAAGTTATCCTAATACTGTTACGAATACTGTCATAACATTTATCTTCATCTTTGAATCTTTCTCTGTTTCTATAGGATCAATAAAGGCACAAATTTTGCTAGGTGAAAAGGTATGAATTTCTTAAGATTTTTGACACCTGGTTCCAAATTGTCATTAGGAAAAGTTGCATCAATTAACTTTCCCTAAAAAAAGTTATCTTTGCCAGGCACGGTGGCTCATGCCTGTTAACCCAGCATTTTGGGAGGCTGAGGCAGGTGGATCACCCGAGGTCAGGAGTTTGAGACTAGCCTGGCCAACATGGTAAAACCCTGTCTCTACTAAAAATACAAAAATTAGCCGGGCATGGTGGTAAGTGCCTGTAATCCCAGCTACTTGGGAGGCCGAGGTGGGAGAATCACTTAAACATGGGGGATGGAGATGGCACTGAGGTGAGATCCTGCCCCTGTACCCCAGCCTGGGTGACAAGAGTGAGACCCTGTCTCAAAAAAAAAAAGTTATCTTTATCTTGTACACATACATATTTACACGTATATATTTCATAGCACTGTGGGGAAGATTAAATGAAGTTATACCTAAAAAGCTCTTTAAGAAGTACTTGAAACATAAGAACACTCAGTGTGGGCTGTAACAATTATTATTATTTGGAAATTTCAAATTGGGACTTTTTCTGGACTGGCTAACTGGGCGAGTTCTGGTTAGAGACAAAGCTAAATGACAGCACATGCATGCCATCCTTTGTTCATTCCAGCGGTATCAACACACCAGTAAGATCTTTCCAAAAAGCTCTCTCCTTCATGTTTCCTAAGCTGGCTATACAACAAAGGAAAAGGCCCACTGACAAATACATCAACCCCACTCCTCTCACAAAACACACAGCCTCTCCTGGATATTATCACCACACTTAACAAGGACTGCAAGAGAAAAACGTAAGAAACTGAGTTTACTTATGAGTATTTACTTATGAGTAGTTGTTTGAGTACTGACTACTAATAAAATCAGATTTTCAGGATCTATAACTGACCTCATTATGTTATTTGGTAAATCACCAGCTGCCAAAGTTTTTGAGGGATAACGATATCCCTGCAGGGATGAGGGGAAGAAATTAGATGTTTTCAAAAGAATGTTTTTAATAATAAACAGAGAAAAGTCAGGGTTGGTGGTGGTGGTTGTTTTTCTAATAATCTGCAGCTAATAAACTCAGCTGGAGCTTGTATTAAATTTCAAATGTTCGACACATATCAAAAAATATGGGCCATTTTAAATATAATGCTCTAAGCAATCTGTTGGGACCAAACTGCAGAAGATACACCCATATTATTCTAATTAGAATATATTTAAATATAGAAGCTATATTTGAGTAAAATATTAAAAGTAAAATATTTAACTCAAAAGCACGGGAGCTGTCCCAAGAAATCTATGACGAAAAGATTCAAGTTTTTAGATCTTTGTACATTTCTGTGTTACTTCTTCTATTTTTATCAAAATAACATAAATAGTTTTTAAAGTTTATAACAAAACTAGTCATACACTGCCCCAACTCTCCCACCTGTTTCCTACTCTTGTAACTGGTTTCTTACATTTTAGCTTTCATTATTTACTTTCTAAGAGGAAGATGCCTTCCACCACTCCCTCACCACTCATGCTTCTCCCAATATAGAAAACAGTGATCTGGGGTTTAAATCAATATCCAGGATTTACATTATTAACATGATAATGTAAATACTGCTCACAGCCGAATCACATAGTATTCTTTGACCACATTTCATTTATCATTCAAGTTCTTAGTCGTGGGTTTTTTTTTAACCACCAAGTTAATGGTTGTTTCTCTAGGCAATACAATTATTTTGATGCATACAAAAAGCTTAAATCACAAGGAGAAGGCCAGGCATGGGTGAGGTAAATCTGAAATAATTACTGAATAACAGCATTTACAACTAGGGTGTACTGACTTAAGAAATTTGTTCCACATGTCATCATGTTCCAGGGTTTTCAGGCTATAAAATATAAGGAGTGTCTACTGACATAGGGAAAGAGCACAATGCTGGAGAATACTTCTAAGTTCACAGACAGATGATTCAAGCAGGCAATTCATATAGCTGTAGGAGATTCTATTTTCTTGTTCTGAAGGTACGAAAAGAAAGTGTTGAACACTTTAAGCTAATTTTTAGCCTGCCTGCTGAAAAGATGCCCATCTAAATGTATTTCCCAAAATAGTGATTCAAGCAGAAAATCTCTGGCTTCTGAATCTTGTATGGCATGAATAATTCCCACCTAAATTGGATGCTTTATAAATTTGACTCTCATGTTTTGACCTCTAAAGCAAGACATTTATGTAGCTTTCTAGGAGGAGTTTCCAAATTTATAAACTTTGCTTTGGCTCAAAATTATCACTGCCAATTCACATACTGGAAATGCGCGTGGCTCCTCTTCCTAGAGTTCTCTCTCCAACTGTTTTCTTCTGTCATTAATAGAATCATCTCAGGATGGTATCCAAGATCGGATACCAAAAGAACTAGTGCCTTAATTCTGAACCATGGTAAACAGACTTTAATTTTTCTTTTAAGCTAGGATACATTCTACAATCATCTGGAAGTTTCTGAGAATATAAATTGTTTTCAGAAACAATTATGGTGCAAATAACCAGTATTAATTTTTAAGCATTAAAAAAATACCAGACACAGTTCCTCCCACCCCTGAATATCTATTTCTCTCCCAAATATCTATCCTCAAATGTAAATAGATGCACAAAGCACCAGCCAGCATTGAGATTAATAGCTTCTTAAATATATATTCAAATATCTATTTCGTTTATGTTGACTCAAAGACTTATTACCTGAAGCAAGTAAAAAGCAAATAACAACATTTCAAAATACATTTCACCCAGCTTTACCTATAATGAATAGTGATAGGCAAATAAGAGTGGTTTCAATTTTAACAAAATGAAGTAGGAGCAGTCTAGGAAAAATATTCTGAGTTGATAACATTTAATAACACTGTTATTATTGACATTTATCAGAAAATAAATCTACACACATATCTGATTGTATAACATGGGCATTTCACTTCGCTATCAGTAAATAAATTAAAAATGGATAAAATGTAATAATATAGCCAAATTTTAATATTACAAAGCCCTGAGACAAGAGCAGAAACTCACAAGAGAAGGCGGTCAACTTTTGGTC